CATTTAGCTGACGCTTTTATCCAAAGCGACTTACAATAAGTGCGTTCGACCAGGAAGACACAACCTTGAAGAAAACAGAATCATATAAGTACATCAGGTTTCATAGAGCCATAACATTTCAAGTGCTACTCAACTGGCTTTAGATAAGCCAGCCCTTTATTAGTATATAAGTGCTTTGTTAATAAATCTATCGCTCGAAGTGGAGTCGAAAGAGATGAGTTTTCAGTCTGGAAGGTGTGTAAGCTTTCTGCTGTCCTGATGTCAATGGGGAGCTCATTCCACCATCTTGGAGCCAGGACAGCAAACCCACGTGTTTTTGCTGATGGGAACTTGGGTGCCCCTCGCAGCGAGGGTGCAGCGAGCTGTTTGGCTGATGCAGAGCGGAGTGCACGCGCTGGGGGTACGGTTTAACCATGTCCTGGATGTAGGAAGGGCCAGATCCATTCGCAGCATGGTAAGCAAGTACCAGTGTCTTGAAGTGGATTCTAGCAGTTACTGGAAGCCAGTGAAGGGAGCGGAGGAGCGGAGTGGTGTGGGAACATTTAGGAAGGTTGAAGACCAGACGAGCCGCTGCATTCTGGATGAGCTGCAGAGGTCGGATGGCACATGCAGGTAGACCAGCCAGGAGGGAGTTGCAGTAGTCTAGGCGTGAGATGACGAGAGCCTGGACCAGAACCTGAGTCGCTTTCTGTGTCAGCTGGGGACGTATCTTCCTGATGTTGTAAAGCGTGTATCTGCAGCAACGGGTTGTAGCAGCGATGTTTGCAGTGAAGGACAGGTTGTTATCTAGGGTCACACCCAGATTCCTTGCAGTCTGAGTCGGGGAAACTCACACATACTAAGCCGTGGCAGCACATCACCCCCACCCTCATCCACCTCCACTGGCTGCCGGTCAAGTCCCGCATAACTTACAAAGTCTTCCTCCTCACCTACAAGTCCCTCCATGCCCATGCCCCCCAGAACCTATCGGACATCCTTCGCCCGCATGCCCCACCCCGGAACCTGCGGTCTTCACAATCTGGCCTGCATACCACCCCCCACACCAACCTGCAAACCTTCGGGGACAGAGCATTCAGTGTGGCTGCCCCCACCCTCTGGAACGCTCTCCCTGTGGAGATCCACAACATCCCCAGGCTTGACGCCTTCAAAAGGGCCCTCAAGTCCCAACTGTGTGCTAAGGCCTTTGGCCCCTAATCTATTTGTTGTTTTGTCTGTCTGACTGGTTATCTGATTGCCTTTTGTTTTGTTATGTTTATTTTGGCCCTGTTCTTCTGTAAAGCGACCTTGGGTCTCAAGGTGCTATATAAATCCAAGCTATTATTATTATTATTATTATTATTATTATAGTCCTCTCCTGCTGATGTTCATGTGTATATCAGTATGTCAGGTAGGTCAGCCGCTTAGATATGTCCCGCCCCTTAGCCTATCACGTACAATGTGTTGGAGTGCTAGCCAATAGGAGTGTGAGTGTTCGTAGTGAAGTCACAATGTTCTGTAACTTGGGGATTTTACCCTTTGCAGACCATTTACATGAACAGAAACCTTTATAACACACCACAGGAAAGGGAACCCCCCCCAAAAAAAGATAAATATGCCCTCTTTGAGCCAACAGCTGCTGTATCTTTTCCCCTGATAACCACAGCTCACCCTCACAAAGTTTACATTTCTACCCAGCGAGGTAAAGATCCCAGAATAATCTCTTAGACACACAAACACACACACCAGAGAGGGTACAAGTAAAGTAATCCGTTTTGTGTGACGAGCCACTGGTTTCCTCCTCACACTGTAACAGGAAAATGTATAAATACTTTGTTACTGTACTTAAGTAAATTGTTCTGGTATCAGTACTTTACTCCACTAATTATTTTCTGACGACTTTTACTTTGACTTCTTACATGTTGAACTCAAATACCTGTACTTTCTACTTCTTACATGTTGAACTCAAATACCTGTACTTCTACTTCTTACATGTTGAACACAAATACCTGTACTTTCTACTTCTTACATGTTGAACTCAAATACCTGTACTTTCTACTTCTTACATGTTGAACTCAAATACCTGTACTTTCTACTTCTTACATGTTGAACTCAAATACCTGTACTTTCTATTCTTACATGTTGAACTCAAATACCTGTACTTTCTACTTCTTACATGTTGAACACAAATACCTGTACTTTCTACTTCTTACATGTTGAACTCAAATACCTGTACTTTCTACTTCTTACATGTTGAACTCAAATACCTGTACTTTCTACTTCTTACATGTTGAACTCAAATACCTGTACTTTCTACCTTCTTACATGTTGAAATCAAATACCTGTACTTTCTTACTTCTTACATGTTGAACACAAATACCTGTACTTTCTACTTCTTACATGTTGAACACAAATACCTGATACTTTCTACTTTACGTTGAACACAAATACCTGTACTTTCTCTTTTACCTGTTGAACTCAAATACCTGTACTTTCTACTTCTTACATGTTGAACCAAATACCTGTACTTCTACTTCTTACATGTTGAAACTCACAATACCTGTACTTTCTACTTCTTACATGTTGAACACAAATACCTGTACTTTCTACTTCTTACATGTTGAACACAAATACCTGTACTTTCTACTTCTACATGTTTGAACCCAAATACCTGTACTTTCTACTTCTTACATGTTGAACTCAAATACCTGTACTTTTCTACTTCTTACATGTTGAACTCAAATACCTGTACTTTCTACTTCTTACATGTTGAACTCAAATACCTGTACTTTCTACTTCTTACATGTTGAACCAAATACCTGTACTTTCTACTTCTTACATGTTGAACTCAAATACCTGTACTTTCTACTTCTTACATGTTGAACTCAAATACCTGTACTTTCTACTTCTCACATGTTGAACTCAAATACCTGTACTTTCTACTTCTTACATGTTGAACTCAAATACCTGTACTCTCTACTTCTTACATGTTGAACCCAAATACCTGTACTTTCTACTTCTTACATTTTGAACTCAAATACCTGTACTTTCTACTTCTTACATGTTGAACTCAAATACCTGTACTTTCTACTTCTTACATTTTGAACACAAATACCTGTACTTTCTACTTCTTACATGTTGAACTCAAATACCTGTACTTTCTACTTCTTACATGTTGAACAAAATACCTGTACTTTCTACTTCTTACATGTTGAACCAAAACCTGTACTTTCTACTTCTTACATTTTGAACACAAATACCTGTACTTTCTACTTCTTACATTTTGAACTCAATAACCTGAACTTTCTACTTCTCACATGCTCGAACTCAAATACCTGTACTTTCTACTTCTTACATGTTGAACACAAATACCTGTACTTTTCTACTTCTCACATGTTGAACTCAAATACCTGTACTTTCTACTTCTTACATTTAACACAAATACCTGTACTTTCTACTTCTTACATTTTGAACCCAAATACCTGTACTTTCTACTTCTTACATGTTGAACACAATACCTGTACTTTCTACTTCTCACATGTTGAACACAATACCTGTACTTTTCTACTTCTTACATTTTGAACACACAATACCGTACTTTCTACTTCTTACATGTTGAACACAAATACCTGTACTTTCTTACTTCTTACATGTTGAACTCAAATACCTGTACTTTTTACTTCTCACATTTTGAACACAATACCTGTACTTTCTACTTCTCACATGTTGAACTCAAATACCTGCTAATACCTGTCACATTTTGAACACACAAATACCTAATTCTACTTCTACATGTTTGACCATCAAATACCTGTACTTTCTACTTCTTACATGTTGAACTCAAATACCTGTACTTTCTACTTCTCACATGTTGAACACAAATACTGTACTTTCTACTTCTTACATGTTGAACACAAATACCTGTACTTTCTACTTCTTACATGTTGAACTCAAATACCTGTACTTTCTACTTCTTACATGTTGACTCAAATACCTGTACTTTTTACTTCTCACATTTTGACACAAATACCTGTACTTTCTACTTCTTACATGTTGAACTCAAATACCTGTACTTTCTACTTCTTACAGTTGAACCAAATACCTGTACTTTCTACTTTACCTGTTGAACACAAATCACCTGTACTGTTTACTCTCAATGTTGAACTCAAATACCTGTACTTTCTACTTCTAACATGTTGAACTCAAATACCTGTACTTTCTACTTCTCACATGTTGAACACAAATACCTGTACTCTACTTCTCACATGTTGAACTCAAATACCTGTACCTTCTACATGTGAACTCAAATACCTGTACTTCTACTCTTACTGTTGAACTCAAATACGTCTTCACTTCTCTCATTCCCAAACAGCTGGTTCCTTTAGTCTGAATGTGTGTTTGATGCGGGATCATTATTCTTTAGAGTCATTGCGTGCCTATTGATTTGAACACGATCCGTGTATCCATCATTTCCTGGTCTTCTCTAAAGAAGATGGACCAATGGAAACGTTGTCATGTTGCCGTTGTTCAGCATGGAAACATTCATTAGCTAACAATGACATTATTGTTCTATTAATATAAAGGGAGGTCAGGTACTCTTTAAAAGCAGCTGCTAGTTATGGGTACTTTTTACTGAAGTACATTTCAAGCCTCTTTGCTTTGACTTGAGTAAAGAAGTTTAGTCAGTCCTTCTACTTTCACCAGAGTATTTTTAAACATGAGTATCTGTACTTCTACTTGAGTAAAGGATGTGTGTACTTGTACCCTCTCTGGTGTGTGTGTTTGTGTGTCTAAGAGATTATTCTGGGATCTTTACCTCGCTGGGTAGAAATGTAAACTTTGTGAGGGTGAGCTGTGGTTATCAGGGGAAAAGATACAGCAGCTGTTGGCTCAAAGAGGGCATATTTATCTTTTTTTGGCGTGTGTGTGTGTGTGTGTGTGTGTGTGTGTGTGTGTGTGTGTGTGTGTGTGTGTGTGTGTGTGTGTGTGTGTGTGTGTGTGTGTGTGTGTGTGTAATGAGCTCCTCAGCCTCGCGGGGCCACTGGATTCCTCCTCACACTGCAACAGGACAATGAAAGCTCACCTATGACGAAGCACATGGTTGCAGCGACGGGCATCACGGCCCAGATGAGTCCCATCGAGGGGTTATAGACGGCCTCGGCTGTGCCCACGATGAAGCCTCCTCCGACCCACGTAGCTGTTTTGCACACAAACACAGTCACATACGGGCAGAAAACACACCCAGGACGATACTGTGTTCATGTAACCTGAGAACCCTGCAGTCGAGTGTAGCTCAGGTGATTACATCGAAATGGGAATTTACTGTAAATGTAATGAGCAATTACTTTAAAACAACCCGTCATGGCAGCTAGTGATTTGTGAGGGGAGCAGGCAACACGTCATGGATTAAGAAATACATTGAAACATATATTTCCTCTTTAATTTCACACTGACTTAGCTACATTCACTTCCTGGTATTCAACCCATTTATTTAAAGTAATATAATAATAATTGACTGTAAATGTAATGACTGTAAAACCATCCATCATGGCAGCTAGTGGTTTGTGAGGGGAGCTGGCATTATTACACAACACATCATGCATTAAAACATTTCCTTCTTTTATTTCACACTGACTTAGCTTGATTAAGCTACATTAACTTCCTGGTATTCAAACCATTTATTTAAAAATAATATAATAATAATTCACTGTACATGTAATGGCTTTAAACCCACCCATCGTAGCAGCTATTGAGAGGCTCAACATGCTACTGTCATGCTTGAGAAAAAATACAATTCAAAAAATCTGTTTCCTCTTTTATTCCAGCCTGACTTCCTGCTTCTCACACAGGTTTCGTTTGTTCCATTATAATCTAAAAAAGGCATTTATAGAGTATCTGAGCCTCGGTTTCACACTGTGTTCCGTTAGGATGAATAACCCACCTATAATAAAGATGGAGCATGCCATGTGCTCTGTATGTTCTATTGGATTAATCCACAATTACCCTCAACAGGGGGGGGGTGGGGGGTGGTGTGCTGAACAATGGGAATCACAGTATCGCCATATGCTGTATTTTAATATATTATAACAGTACTATTTGTATTTAATGTATCTACGTATTCATGTTTCTTTGTCTTTTTTATGCACCGCACATACAAAGGGAAAATCCCCGTATGTGTATTTGGTAATAAAAACCGATTCTATAGACGGATGGAATAAAGGCGAATAATCATCGTTTTTTTGTTGCGTTTCTCATCCAAAAAGCGGGTGTTTTCCCCTCCCGGTACTCGCCTGTCATGGTGAAGATGCCGACAACCAGGTTGATGCCCCGGTTCCCCAGCAGAGCCATCTCCGTTTTATCCCCCGTGCCCTTCTTGGCCTCCCGTTTGGACTTGAAGGAAGCCCAGATCCCGATGCCGAGCACCAGCAGGTAGAAGAACATCATGACGGCCACGCCGGGGATGTTGACAGCCATGGTGAGGCTGCAGGATGCCGACTGAAAGAGAGCTGTGCTGCGTGAGGAGGAAACAACACATCCCTCCCTCCACCCCCACGAGCGCATTTCCTCCCCTCTTCGTGCTCGGTGGCGCGCGGTACTGCAGCAGTGTCACCCATCAAGGTGAAGCACCCACTCACCCACCCACCCACACACACAGACACACTTTTTATTTATGTACTAATATGTATATATTTGTATTTGCATGTGGTTGGCATATACAGTATATGTTGTGACATGTATTGTTGACATTAATGTATAGTGTTGATTTTAGTTTTGTTCTGTTATAACCCCTTGTGCGGAATGCTTTAGCAAAATGTGGTCACGCCAAAAAAGCCCCTTTGTATTGCATTGTATTGTATTGTATGGTATTGTATTGTATTGTATTGCATTGTAGTGTAGTGTAGTGTATTGTATTGTATTGTATTGTATTGTATTGTATTGTGAAACCAGAATCCGGAGGGTGACGTCACGGACACTACCGTCCATATATGTCTCGACAACAGTCTACCGGTGAAACACAACCGAGCACCGGGAGAGACTTGCGTAATGAGTGAGGAAGGAGGGGGTGAGTGTACAATATGTGATAGATGGGGAAGAGTATTCTATTCAAAAAGAAAGTACTACTCCAGGATCAGTGTGGAGCAGATGTTGGTTTATTTTGTACAGTTAATTTATAATAGGGACATTTACAAAGATGCAACAGGTATTTTAAATAAGGAAGAATTAAAGAAGTAAATATTAACCATGAAGAAAATCCAATCAGTACGTCTACCTGATAATCCATGTGGTAGAGTATTTTATAAAGAAAGTACCGCTCCACTATGGACGCATAATTTGTGTTTTTTGTACACTGAATTTATAATAGGGACATTACATATTGATTTGTTTTAAAGTGGGCTGACTCCAAACCACATTTTGAACATTTTGACCAAGAAGTAAAACAATATAGCAGCACTATTTAAAACATTATGGATAAAAAGGTAATCCAAACTAATAATACATATTTAATCTGATATATGAAACTGTATTTTCTTATTACTTTATATGCAGAGGTGGGAAGTAAATAAGTACATTTACTCAGGTACCGAACTTGAGTAAAATGTTAAGGTACTTGTACTTTACTTGAGTATTCCATCTGCACAATGACTACTTTTACTTTTAGTACTTTAAGTATATTTTTGATGATAATACTTTTCTACTTTTACTTGAGGAACATTTTGAATGCAGGACGTTTACTGTAACAGAGTATTCCTACACTCTGGTACTTCTACTTTTACTCAAGTACAAGGTCTGAGTACTTCTACTTTTACTCAAGTACAAGGTCTGAGTACTTCTACTTTTACTCAAGTACAAGATCGGAGTACTTCTATTTTTACTCAACTATAAGATCTGAGTACTTCTACTTTTACTCAAGAACAAGATCTGAGTACTTCTACTTTTACTCAAGTACAAGATCTGAGTACTTCTACTTTTACTCAAGTACAAGATCTGAGTACTTCTACTTTTACTCAAGTACAAGGTCTGAGTACTTCTACTTTTACTCAAGTACAAGATCTGAGTACTTCTACTTTTACTCAAGAACAAGGTCTGAGTACTTCTACTTTTACTCAAGTACAAGATCTGAGTACTTCTACTTTTACTCAAGTACAAGGTCTGAGTACTTCTACTTTTACTCAAGAACAAGATCTGAGTACTTCTACTTTTACTCAAGTACAAGATCTGAGTACTTCTACTTTTACTCAAGTACAAGATCTGAGTACTTCTACTTTTACTCAAGTACAAGATCGTAATTTATCCAAAAATAACTGAAACTAAGTAGGTTACTTTTATATCGTGATACTCAGATACTGATGACATGTTTTGACTCGTACCTAGTCACCGGATTACATTTGTATGTATTTATTATTTATTCGAGAACATACAAATATATGAACATCATATCAGGGGTTGACATGACAAGAGGTGGGAGAAATACTCTGATATTGTACTTGAGTAGAAGTACTTACTGTGGGGGAAACTTCTGTGTAGCGATGCAGGAGGAGTCACCGACTCAAAGGAGACACGGCGAGAGCTGGAGCTTTGATGGCAAACACTGACGGTTTATTTGGAGCTTCGGCCGGAGGATTCACAAAACAAGTCACGAGCCAGAGGTTCTGACTTCACGGTCGAGTTACCACGTCAATTCTGAAGAACTCTACCCCAGACCGTGTGTTTAGCTAGTTCAGAGAGAATAATCAACATTCTTCATAACAAGATAGAATCATAACACCGCTATCAGCTGACGCCATCAGGCAGGAACAGGGAGACAAAACACTGAGAGCACAGCAGCCAAGGCTACAGGTGCCTGTGCTCAGTCAGGACAGTTTGAACTGATACACTGGGTCAAAGTTATGGACCTTGGGAAATATTTCCCCAACATTTACAATACAAGTAGCATAAAATGGAAATATTCAGTAGTACCTCTATATCCGGGGTGTCAAACTCAAGGCCCGGGGGCCAAATCCGGCTCGCCACTTCATTTGATGTGGCCCCACAAGAGCTTGCAAAGAATATAATATGTTTATTATACGGTTGAATGCCACTTTACAGGAGCACGTTGCCCATAAACTACATATCCCACAATGCATCTAATTTTGTGACATTCTCACTGAAGAGACTTGCAATCACTTGTCCCCAGACTTCTGCTTTCAGACGTAGTTATTTAAGTAATTACGCTAATAATGGTAATTATTAGCGGTAATAATGTAATATAATACATTATTTCATATATATTATATATATTTATCTATGTATATTTATATAGACTTAAAGTTACCACCGGCCCTTTGAGTGCAACCATAATTCTAATGTGGCCCGCCATGAAATTGAGTTTGACCCCCTGCTCTAAATTGTACTTGAGTAAATGTACTTAGTTACTTCCCTCTGACTCCCAGGAAACGTATACTTTGATACTCATCATGTCAGCTGTATGTAATGTAATTAAGTGTTGTTATTATTTGTAGTGCTGGTGTTCAGATATCCCTCACAGGGAGAGAGCTGCGTCTCTTTTGTTTAATTATAGCTCCTATCTGGATGTGTCCTAACATGCACTGCTGCTGCCTCAATTTAGAAAGCCTTGACCGACGAAACTAGAGCCCACTTTTATTTTGAAGCGGTCGCAGGAAACGCTGTGTATTTGTCACCAAGGTTCGTGACGAATGGGCGTCTCGTGAAAATGGCATCAACACAAGAATCCCTTAGATGGTTTACTCCTGCAAAGAGGTGCTGATTCACAACAAAAGACCCGTCATTAAAAAGTATCCCTTAGTTAAGTTAAGGCTCCTTTTTCTCACAGCTTAGCATGTAAGGAAATGAATCAGCAGATGGTATGTTCTCTGTTGGCATGGGGGGGGGGTCATATCCTTCCACATATATTCACAGGTTATCATGTTCCAATATTCCACAAGAGGACCACTTTCCCACTAATGAGGGGACGGTAGGGGTCTGAGGGAGACTCGTTATCATTTCATTATTTATGCATTATTACGTCAAAGCAGTCAAAGCAGACGTTGCATTTGACAGCAGGGTTACCTTAGCAGGAGGAGGAGCTATCTATATGTGAATACAATGTAAGATAAAAACATTAAACTAACAAATAATACATAATACAAATAGAAATATTAATTAAAATTAATAAAATAATAACAATAAATGTTATTTACAGAGCGATTTGAGTGAAAGGCAGTTACCACGAGTAACAATGAACAGAAGACTATAAATAAAACCTGACTGTTGTTTCGTTGTTTGGCTCACACACTCTTTGCATTGCGATACAAGGGCTTCTATTTGTGTCCCTGTGTGTGTGTGTGTGTGCGTGCGTGTGTGTCTGTGTGTGTGTCTCTGCCTCTGTGTGTGTGTGTGCGTGTCTCTCTGCCTGTGTGTGTGTGTGTGCGTGTCTCTGCCTGTGTGTGTGTGCGTGTGTGTGTGTGTGCGTGTCTCTCTGCCTGTGTGTGTGTGCGTGTCTCTCTGCCTGTGTGTGTGTGTGCGTCTCTCTGCCTGTGTGTGTGTGCGTGTGTGTGTGCGCGTGTCTCTCTGCCTGTGTGTGTGCGTGTGTGTGTGCGTGTCTCTCTGCCTGTGTGTGTGTGTGTGGGCATTTGAATACACTGAGCCGGTACTGAGTATTAGATCAAGTAGATTAAAAAGAAAGATAGTGGCCAAGTTAAATAATACAAAATAAATAATAATAATAATATTATACAAAATAAATACAAAAACATCTATACAAATAATAATTATAATACTTAAAAATATAAACAATACAAAATAATAATAAATAACACAAGAACAACAAAATAAAAAATAAATATAATAATAAAATATTAATACAAAATCAACACATAACAAAAATATCAAAAATAAACAACAATAAATACAAAGAAACATAAAAACACAAAATAATATATAATAAAAATAATAATATACATATTTGTTCTAAATAATGAACAGTTATTGACAAATCCACTGTATTATTATTGTTATAATTCCACGTCTGAGGGCCCGAACATTGACCCCCGACCCCTGACCCTTGGATCATATAATACTCCACCACAGGCTCCATGACGTCGGCGGTGTTTCTCAGAGCTCGTATTAAACTCTTTACACAAACTGTAATGTAGAACATAAAAAATATGAAGACAAGCGCAAACAAAGACCCTGCAGGGGTTCGCTCTGTCGGCACGTTATTAACACTGCACCCCGGCTGGGTTTTACCCATAATGCAAAGCAGCATCCCTGGGTCTTTATACAGAAACAGCAGGTGTGTACTCGGTACCCATGAGCACCTGCTGGTCTCAGGTCAGTTAAGATATGAACTCGGCGTCGGCACAGAGGGAACAAAGAAAGGAGCCGAGGGGGCTTTGAGGTATTTAACGTTTCCTGTGAGACACTTTGTTCTCGTGATATATCTAAAGCAGTAAAAGTCATTCCAGATTAAACTCACACATTTTCAATTGATTGATGCATGCTCACAACACCGGGTTGCACTGATGCATGATGGGATTTTATTAAAAATGCATTACTGGGAAGTCAAACTGTGTTCTTGCTGCAAGAAAACCATCAGTTAAATAGATATGACCTTTAGTGAGTCGGAGACAGTTTCAGGAAATTCAATCTAGATTATTGAGGACATTTTAAATGTATTTGACTTAAATATTGGGGGATAATATAATTTGGGGGAAATTGAGTTTATTGACAGTTTCTCCGAATTTAAAATTGATAAAATAAACCACACTTTTTTTTTTACGATAACGTGTGGGGACAGGTTTGCAATAAAAACATAAAATAAAAAAACAATAGAGATATTTAAATAGTTTCTTCAATAAAAGATACAAATAATTTAAAGTATACATTTGCACTTTTTACTACAAGATACAACTTCACTCATCACTACAGGGGCCTTTTACCAAAATGCAGATTCTCTCTCTCTCTCTCTCTCTCTCTCTCGCTCATATATAATAACTGTTAGCGTGTTATATTTGCAGACGCTGCTATTTATAGTCTCTGATGTCCTCTATGTTTTCCTTCCTTAGTCTCTGCGTGCCAGAGGACGACGACCGTCTGTCATCAGGACTAACAGCTGGTTATTTATCGTCCCCGGATGATGAACCTGTCTGTATCTCCGTCTGTATTATTCTCAGAGGTGGGAAGTAATGGAGTACAAATACTTTGTTACTGTACTTAAGTACATTTTTCTGGTATCAGTACTTTACTCCACTACTTATTTTTCTGATGACTTTTTACTTTGACTTCTTACATGTTGAACACAAATACCTGTACTTTCTACTTCTTACATGTTGAACTCACATACCTGTACTTTCTACTTCTTACATGTTGAACACAAATACCTGTACTTTCTACTTCTTACATGTTGAACACAAATACCTGTACTTTCTACTTCTTACATGTTGAACTCAAATACCTGTACTTTCTACTTCTTACATGTTGAACACAAATACCTGTACTTTCTACTTCTCACATGTTGAACACAAATACCTGTACTTTCTACTTCTTACATGTTGAACTCAAATACCTGTACTTTCTACTTCTCACATGTTGAACACAAATACCTGTACTTTCTACTTCTTACATGTTGAACCCAAATACCTGTACTTTCTACTTCTTACATGTTGAACACAAATACCTGTACTTTCTACTTCTTACATGTTGAACTCAAATACCTGTACTTTCTACTTCTTACATGTTGAACTCAAATACCTGTACTTTCTACTTCTTACATGTTGAACTCAAATACCTGTACTTTCTACTTCTTACATGTTGAACTCAAATACCTGTACTTTCTACTTCTTACATGTTGAACTCAAATACCTGTACTTTCTACTTCTTACATGTTGAACTCAAATACCTGTACTTTCTACTTCTTACATGTTGAACTCAAATACCTGTACTTTCTACTTCTCACATGTTGAACACAAATACCTGTACTTTCTACTTCTTACATGTTGAACTCAAATACCTGTACTTTCTACTTCTTACATGTTGAACTCACATACCTGTACTTTCTACTTCTTACATGTTGAACTCAAATACCTGTACTTTCTACTTCTCACATGTTGAACACAAATACCTGTACTTTCTACTTCTTACATGTTGAACCCAAATACCTGTACTTTCTACTTCTTACATGTTGAACTCAAATACCTGTACTTTCTACTTCTTACATGTTGAACTCAAATACCTGTACTTTCTACTTCTTACATGTTGAACCCAAATACCTGTACTTTCTACTTCTTACATGTTGAACCCAAATACCTGTACTTTCTACTTCTTACATGTTGAACACAAATACCTGTACTTTCTACTTCTTACATGTTGAACACAAATACCTGTACTTTCTACTTCTTACATGTTGAACTCAATACCTGTACTTTCTACTTCTTACATGTTGAACTCAAATACCTGTACTTTCTACTTCTTACATGTTGAACTCAAATACCTGTACTTTCTACTTCTTACATGTTGAACTCAAATACCTGTACTTTCTACTTCTCACATGTTGAACACAAATACCTGTACTTTCTACTTCTTACATGTTGAACTCAAATACCTGTACTTTCTACTTCTTACATGTTGAACTCACATACCTGTACTTTCTACTTCTTACATGTTGAACTCAAATACCTGTACTTTCTACTTCTCACATGTTGAACACAATACCTGTACTTTCTACTTCTTACATGTTGAACCCAAATACCTGTACTTTCTACTTCTTACATGTTGAACTCAAATACCTGTACTTTCTACTTCTTACATGTTGAACTCAAATACCTGTACTTTCTACTTCTTACATGTTGAACCCAAATACCTGTACTTTCTACTTCTTACATGTTGAACCCAAATACCTGTACTTTCTACTTCTTACATGTTGAACACAAATACCTGTACTTTCTACTTCTTACATGTTGAACACAAATACCTGTACTTTCTACTTCTTACATGTTGAACTCAAATACCTGTACTTTCTACTTCTTACATGTTGAACTCAAATACCTGTACTTTCTACTTCTTACATGTTGAACTCAAATACCTGTACTTTCTACTTCTTACATGTTGAACTCAAATACCTGTACTTTCTACTTCTTACATGTTGAACACAAATACCTGTACTTTCTACTTCTTACATGTTGAACACAAATACCTGTACTTTCTAACTTCTTACATCTTGAACTCAAATACCTGTACTTTCTACTTCTTACATGTTGAACTCAAATACCTGTACTTTCTACTTCAATCATGAGAGATGTGATGTATGAAATACATGTTTAATACCGGACACGTTGTATAGAAAATTATGATTGACAGATTACAACAATGAATCAACTGATGTTTGGAGATTAGGCCCCGGTTTGTAGGATATCATTCAGGAGGGGGAAAACCGCTCCGATGAACCCCCCGGGGTCTAGACACTGGTGGTGGTGATAATGGTTCGGTCTGGTCTGGAGGAAGAAGGATTAGCTTGGCCCTGAATTAGGAGACAGGAGGCGAAGGGGTGGAGGCGGGTTGTGCGTTGACACCTGAAATGACAACTGACAGAGAGGGAAGAGCAGATTTAAAGGGTTTAGCAGGTGCAATGATTGCTAGCTGGGGAGTACCGCCCCTGATTACTTAATGGGAGAAGAGCTTGCAGTGACGTGTAACACCAGGGGGTATGGTCTTCCTTCTTGAACTTGCGCTAAGCTTCATTTCAATCATGAGAGACGTGATGTATGAAATACATGTTTAATACCGGACACGTGGTATAGAAAATTATGATTGACAGATTACAACAATGAATCAACTGATGTTTGGAGATTAGGCCCCGGTTTGTAGGATATCATTCAGGAGGGGGAAAACCGCTCCGATGAACCCCCAAAGAGAAGAGAAGTAAGAAGTGCTGAGATGTGAAGCATTTCTTACCTTGCTGGCTGATTGAGGAGATCTGCGGATGAAATGAGATAACACAGGGACATGATGAGATTGTCGGAATAACTGTAGGGTTAATGTGAACGCCAACCATGCTTAGCGCCTGCATGTTGGATTAGACGATGCTGACCCACAGGCCGCAACCTGCACGCGCAGGGTTAAACATGACGCTGACCCACCGGCCGCAACCTGCACGCGCAGGGTTAAACATGACGCTGACCCGCTGGCCGCAACCTGTACACACAGGGTTAAACAAAATGCTGACCCATAGGCCGCAACCTGCACACGCAGGGTTAAACGAAATGCTGACCCATAGGCCGCAACCTGCACACGCAGAGTTAAACAAAATGCTGACCCATAGGCCGCAACCTGCACACGCAGGGTTAACAAATGCTGACCCATAGGCCGCAACCTGTACACACAGGGTTAAACAAATGCTGACCCATAGGCCGCAACCTGTACACACAGGGTTAAACATGACGATGACCTACTCGCCCTGTACGTACAGGGTTTAAACATAATGCGACCCACTGGCCGCAACCTGCGCGGCAGGATTCAATACGCGGACCCGAAGGTCGCAACGATGCGGTATGAAGTGTTTAAACGTGAACACGGTGACACGTAAATGTGCTGACTTGCTAAACCACCACCAGTTGTATATATAAGTACCGTTAGTGTTGGAGGGACCTTTGGATGGCCAGCACGGCACTGATGTCCGGGCGAATGTAGGATGTGAAGGCAGAGGAGGACCACCGTCCGAGTTGTTGCAGGGATGAGGATGAGACTCCTTGAATGGCAGCAGATGTAGCTGCGCCTATCCTGAACGAATGCCCCGAGAATAATTGGGGTGCTAGTCCGGATTTAGAGATAATTTGTTTTAAATAGTAGTTGAACCGGTGTTTAGTTAAGGGAATATTCCCTGGGAGAAGAAATAGTGGTGAGAGAGGATTTGTGGAAGATCTTAAATGCAGGAATTTAATCATGGATTTATAGGGGCAGAAAGGAGAATCGTTGCGAGCAGCGCTAACGGAGCAAGCGCCTCCACATTTGGAGTGCTTAAGTTTTAGACTGAAATGGCTAGCATGGAAAGATAAGTCGGCAAAGCAGACGTCTTGATTGGGATCGAATGTTAGGGACGCTGTGCCGAATTCTCCTGGTCTGAGAAAAGCATAGAATGCTAACAGAAATAATGCATCGAGTAGTGCGTCGATGTAGGGAGAAAATACTCCTTCTCTGAGTTTGGAGAGCATAAGACGCAGGGTGGAGAGTGTAATGGGTCGCCTATGATCTGTAACTGTAGGAAACATTTTTTGCAGACCTTTCAAAATGAGTTTGACTGATTGGTTAGAAAACAGGCTGGGGAAGCTGGGATCGTAACAGCGAACATTAAACTGCACGCCAGCTAGGAGGCCTCGGATGTATTGAGGTTTGAGGTGGCGATCAGTGGCGCAGTAGCACGTGAAGGCACACACGGTGGATATGAGGACGGGTTTAAGTGCGATGTTTACAGTAAAGCAAAAGAAAGCGAAGGTTCTCCATGCGGAGTCATATTTTTTTAAGGGTGGAGACGGCTAAGCCCTTTCTCATAAAGAACCTGGCGGACTCTAGGTGCCTGGCTAATGGGCTCTTATTTAAGAGAGGGAGAGAAGATGCAGGGGAGGGATCTCGATGGGCTGTGAGCTGGCTTCTGGGCAGAGATTCCGGAAGGTCTGGAAATGAAAGCGAGAGAGGGAGTCAGCCGCTGTATTGAGGTGACCGGGAACATGACGAGCTGAGATGAGAAAGTTATGGGTAATGGAAGACCATGTGATGCTTCTCATAAATGGCATAATGTCATTGCACGGGGAGCGAGCTTTGTTAATTATTCCCACTACTGCTTGGTTGTCGCAGAGCACCAAGATGCGCTTCCGTAGCCAGAGGTGACCCCACACATAACAGGCAACTGCGATAGGGTAGATCTCGTGCAGGGCGGAGGATGAGGCATGATTGGGGAATGTGGGAGGCCATGGGCCCGCGAACCACTCTCCCTGAAATAAACCCCCAAAACCCACGGATGGGGCGGCGTCCGTGAAGAACCTCATTGAGTCGGAAGAATACACTATGTCATCATAGAAGAAGGTGATGCCGTTCCAGTGGTCGAGCAGGAGGGACCAGAATCGTAGGTCAGAGCGGCAGCCTTCGTTTAGCACAACGCGGTCATGGAGGTTTTTAACGCCCGAAGCTGTGTCTAGAAGGCGAGATATGAATGAGCGCCCCTGGGGGATGACGCGCATGGCAAAGTTAAGGTGCCCGAGGAGAGAGAGCAGCTGTTGTTTAGTTATGGATTGTTGCCCGCAATATGACTTGGTAATATCACGTATGCGCTGCAATTTGTCGCTGGGGAGAGATGCTTTCATCTCTGCGGAATCGAGTGTGATGCCTAGAAACTCCAGGCATGTGTCAGGTCCTAGGGTTTTCTCCGCGGATAGGGGAATGCCTAGCTTCTGAAAGCAGAGTTTGAGTTTTGCCAGGGAGGCGCCTGAGTTGTCCCGAGGGGGATCTACGAGGAGAAAATCGTCCAGCAAGTGGAGAACAGAAGGTATTCTGGCAATGTTCAGCAGGATCCAGCAGAGGGCTTCGGAAAGAGAATTAAAGATGCAGGGGCTACTTCTGCATCCGAAAGTCAGGCGGACGGCGAAGTAGAATTTGGATTCCCACCTGATGCCGAACATGTTCCACTGGGACGGATGAATGGGGATGATTTTGAACGTGTCAGTTATGTCTGCTTTGGAGAGCCAGGCTCCTTGCCCTGTGAGCTTTATTAAATTTGATTGCGTCGTCAACCGAGGCATATTGAAGGGAAAATGGCTCTGAAGGGATGAGGCTGTTAATGCTGCAGAACGGGCCGGCGCGGGGTGCGGACAGATCGAAAATTAGCCTTTTCTTTTCGGAGTATTTGCGTGTGGCTACTCCTATTGGACTTGTCCGGAACACTGACAACGGGGATGAGCGAAAAGGACCTATTAAGTATCCTTTATTACATTCTTTCTCAATGAGCTGAGAGACTATGATGGGTTCTTTATTTGCTGATTGTAGGTTTTTTGCAACGAAGGTTACGGGGGGAGGAGAGAGGACCCCGACCCTAAAGCCTTGGGAAAGCCCTGACAAAAGGTAATCGACGAACACTGGGTCTGGGTGGGTAGAGAGCGCGGCGGCTAGGTATGGAATGTTAATGGGAGTGGACGGGTGAATTTTTAGGAGGTTTTTCCACCACGTGGTTTCTGTTGCGGGAAGTTGATTCGGCGGCGCTTGGGGCAGACTGACTTCGGATGCGCATCCCCGCAGAAGCTGCAGATGTGGAGAAAAGTACAGAGGGGGTAAACGCAGACGGTCTCGTTAAAGCCATAACATATCCTGTCATTTCTCCTAGTCTGCACCTGGCGTTCTTGGCCATAACTCCCTGGATACGGCGTGGGAAAATCTCTGGCCCTGGAGAGAGGCACTGATGGGCAGAAAGTGGCAGTGTGGCCCTGCGTCCCGCAAGTAGAGCATGAGTGGACTTGTTGCCCGCCGGTAGCCATGACAAGCAGCTCAGTGTCCAGCACGGACCAATCCAGGCGGATGTTGCAGTGAGCTAGATGGCGCGCTGCTTTGCTAGAAAAGCTCTTGTGGTAATAATAGAAAATGGATTTCCCGTATTTGAGCTGGAGATCACCGATGATGCCCAGATATGCGTCGAACTCGGTTCTCCTTTCGGGGTAAACGGTACATAGGACATCTCGGAAGATGCCGAAAGCGACCAGGAACTGTCCTATGTTTAGATCTTTCAGAAGCCGGGGATCTGTGGACCTAAACACAGCAGTGAAGCTTCCTCCTGTGGCGATAGCCTTGTCACACTCCGGGGAAGGCAAGATGAGGCTGACAAGATTAACGTCTTTCCCTTCGAGGATTTTCGCCCTCAGCCTGGAGGAAATATACGCGGCTTGGGGAATATAAGGCCTACCTGAAGGCGGCTCTGGAAATGCGGTAGCCAGGGTGTGAGAGGGGATTACCGCTTGATGATATGACTGGCCCTGCCCCGGCATAAGCCCCTGAGCAGGAGCGTCGCCCCAGTTTGCGGAAGAAGTTGACGCTCTAGCAGAGCCTTTATCCATGGCCTGAAGGTGGGCGTTAATTCCCCGCATGGAGCTTGCCAGGTTTTGCAGGGTGTTAGCGAGGCTGTCGTCCTGGTTACCGGGGCTCCCGAGATGCCCCGCGCTTGGGGAAAGTTGGATGTTCTTTCTTTTTTTTCCTGGGCGAGCTTGTGGAGGGCTCCGCTTCCTCGTCCTTTTCCCTCCGCGGCTACGCCCGCGTCCTCGCCCCGGTCTCTCGGGAGAGTTGGCTGGAGAGTTGGCTGGAGAGTTGGCTGGAGCTGCTGCCCTGGGCTGGGAGGCCGCACCAGGGACTTGGTCCGAGAGTTCCCGAAGCTGGGAGAGAGAGAGGTCTGGGGCTGCGGAAATGCCCTGCCGCCGTAGGTGGGAGATGAGGAAATCCACCTCTGCTGTTCGGGATTCGCCACGGGAAGCCAGACGGGAGCTTGTGCGCCGTTGGCTTGAGGAGATGGAAGATACGCCTGGAAGTATGTCGGAATCGGGATCGAGATCCCGCGGAAAATCTTCGTAGTCGGAGCCTTCTATAGTGGACATGTTGTTTTTTTTTCCTTTTCTTTTTGTATCTTTCTGAGTGTTTGTTAGCGAGATAGATGAGGAGTATAGGTACTACCAATTGTGCGTTGACACCTGAAATGACAACTGACAGAGAGGGAAGAGCAGATTTAAAGGGTTTAGCAGGTGCAATGATTGCTAGCTGGGGAGTACCGCCCCTGATTACTTAATGGGAGAAGAGCTTGCAGTGACGTGTAACACCAGGGGGTATGGTCTTCCTTCTTGAACTTGCGCTAAGCTTCATTTCTTACATGTTGAACTCAAATACCTGTACTTTCTACTTCTCACATGTTGAACACAAATACCTGTACTTTCTACTTCTCACATGTTGAACTCAAATACCTGTACTTTCTACTTCTCACATGTTGAACACAAATACCTGTACTTTCTACTTCTTACATGTTGAACTCAAATACCTGTACTTTCTACTTCTCACATGTTGAACACAAATACCTGTACTTTCTACTTCTTACATGTTGAACACAAATACCTGTACTTTCTACTTCTCACATGTTGAACACAAATACCTGTACTTTCTACATCTTACATGTTGAACCCAAATACCTGTACTTTATACTTCTTACATGTTGAACCCAAATACCTGTACTTTCTACTTCTTACATGTTGAACACAAATACCTGTACTTTCTACATCTTACATGTTGAACCCAAATACCTGTACTTTATACATCTTACATGTTGAACCCAAATACCTGTACTTTCTACTTCTTACATGTTGAACACAAATACCTGTACTTTCTACTTCTCACATGTTGAACCCAAATACCTGTACTTTCTACTTCTCACATGTTGAACACAAATACCTGTACTTTCTACTTCTCACATGTTGAACTCAAATACCTGTACTTTCTACTTCTCACATGTTGAACACAAATACCTGTACTTTCTACTTCTCACATGTTGAACTCAAATACCTGTACTTTCTACTTCTCACATGTTGAACTCAAATACCTGTACTTTCTACTTCTTACATGTTGAACCCAAATACCTGTACTTTATACTTCTCACATGTTGAACACAAATACCTGTACTTTCTACTTCTCACATGTTGAACACAAATACCTGTACTTTATACTTCTCACATGTTGAACTCAAATACCTGTACTTTATACTTCTTACATGTTGAACTCAAATACCTGTACTTTCTACTTCTTACATGTTGAACACAAATACCTGTACTTTCTACTTCTTACATGTTGAACTCAAATACCTGTACTTTCTACTTCTCACATGTTGAACACAAATACCTGTACTTTCTACTTCTTACATGTTGAACACAAATACCTGTACTTTCTACTTCTTACATGTTGAACTCAAATACCTGTACTTTCTACTTCTTCACTGTAAGCCCGGATAAGTTGAATCTACTTTAAAAAATAGCGTAAAGTGGTTGCCTTTAAACATTTAAGTAAAGCATTATGAAAACTTGAGTAAATTAAACTTAAATTAATCAAGGACTTTAATTGTTATTTGAAGTACAATGCACTTCATGTGAAGTTGATTTTACTTAAAATAGTGTAATATCAATTGTTTTTTCCAATTATTTAACTTAGAATTTTTAGTTGAAAGTGGTTACATTTCGTATTTATATTTTTGATTCCGTCAACTACAAAAAAGAAAAAAGACACAAAAATAAAGTTTTACCTTTTATTAAAACTTGAGTGTTTCATTTGGATACAATGAAATTGAGCTTCCTATACAAACTGTGGCAAAAATATTGTACCATACATTTTCCTGAGAACATTTTTCACATGAAACAATAGCAATCTCTCTATATATATATAAAGATATATAGTTATATCTATAATATATATAGATCTATATATTTATGTAGAGCTCTGAAAAAATTAAGAGACCTCTGTAAAATTATCAGTTTCTCTCGTTTTACTATTGGTAAAAACTGGATTAACATTTGTGTTTTATTCTATAAATTAATGACTGACTACATTTATCCCAAACTCCAAATATTCTCATTTAGAGCGTTTATTTACAAAAAATACCAAATGTTCAAAGTAACCAAAAAAGATGGAGTGTTTTCAGACCTCGAATAGTGCAAAGAAAACAATTTAAAATTCATTTTTCAACAACACAATACTAATGTTTTAACATAGGAAGGGCTGAGGAATCAGTCATTGGTGGAACAACCCAGATTTTCAATCCCAGCTTTCATGAGTCTTGGCTCTGCACCACCTTTCACATTGCTGCGTGAGTTTGTGTGCCAGGAGAGACATAAAGTCACCCAGAAACAATGTGACAGACTGGTGGCGAGCAACCAAGACGCATAGAAAGCTGTTATTGAAACATCTGGGTTATTCCACCAAAGATTGATTTCTGAACTCTTCCTAAGTTCAAACATTAGTATTGTGTTGTTTAATAATGAAGAACTTGTTTTCTTTGCATTATTTGAGGTTTGAAAACACAGCATTTTCTCTGTTATTCTGACCAGTTGTAATTTTCTGCAAATAAATGCTCTAAATGACTTTTGGGAGAGATGTTGTCAGTAGTTTATAGAATAAAACACAAATGGAAATGCCAACAAGCGTAATAGGTCAAACAGTGCAAACATGCAACAACAACAAAATGCAACATGGAAGCCTAAATACTTGCCATATGTAACAGTAGCCAACTTTTCAGAACCCCGCTTCACAATGTAAGCTGATTTTTCAAAGTCTGAATTTTGGGTGCCAGCTCAACTTTACCAAGTTTTAATATCACCTGCTGAACAAAGTGGAAAGTGTTTTTCATGCACTCCAGTTGCAGGGCATAAATGAGTCTGAACAGGACACAGAAGGCCTGAGGCAGGTTAGCCGGTCCATCCATCACCACATTCCCCTCCAAGACGATGGCCACACTGGATGGGTTGAGCTGAGGATTTTCTCCGACAGAGGATTCCCAGTGGAGTTTGACTGTACACCTCCTTATCACACTGCGGGGATTCCCCCCCCCCCAATGACCACCTAGCAGCACATTATACCGCTTATTACACGGCTACATACTAAAAAAAAAAAAAAATTCATAATATCGATTTTTAAATGATTTAATTGACTTAAAAATGATCGTAATGCTTCCGCCAAAATAAAAAGTCCGTTCCACGGAACAAATGGAACTTTAATTCAGAAAATAAACGGCAGCATTATTCGAATTTATCTGTAACTGTCAAAGTCTGTTAACATTTTATTTTCCTCTAACAAGTACTTAAACAATGCGAGAGAAGCCCACACCGTGTTCCCGCCAGTTGATACTTCCTGTGGCTGTGTTACACCCAAATGTACGAGAATTCAACCAAGCCCTGTTAGCTAAATCACTCACCAGATTCAGTAGATAAGGCAGCCGTGCAGCGTCCTTCCTTTGGAAGCGTAGACAGCGCGGTGGAAGGGTGCAAGTCCGGCGTTCAAAGTGGGGTTGCGTCCGACTGAGAAATTGCGAGCTGGAAACGTGGCTGCGGCACATTAAAAGATCCTTCTCTTTCCCATAATGCATTGCGAACATGACTAAAACTTAATAATGTTTAGTTACTTAACTTAAAATTATTGACACATTGCTTAACTAACACATGTAAGTATTATATGCTTACATTTGGTAGTCAGCAAGTAGAATAAGCTTACATTTGATAGTAATGCAATGAAACTTAAATAATGTCAGTAATTTGTAATTCATTATTTAATTAGATATGAACTCCGGGCTAACAGTGTTACATGTTGAACCCAAATACCTGTACTTTCTACTTCTCACATGTTGAACCCAAATACCTGTACTTTCTACTTCTCACATGTTGAACCCAAATACCTGTACTTTCTACTTCTCACATGTTGAACCCAATACCTGTACTTTCTACTTCTCACATGTTGAACCCAATACCTGTACTTTCTACTTCTCACATGTTGAACACAAATACCTGTACTTTCTACTTCTCACATGTTGAACTCAAATACCTGTACTTTCTACTTCTCACATGTTGAACACAAATACCTGTACTTTCTACTTCTCACATGTTGAACCCAAATACCTGTACTTTCTACTTCTTACATGTTGAACCCAAATACCTGTACTTTCTACATGTTGAACACAAATACCTGTACTTTCTACTTCTTACATGTTGAACCCAAATACCTGTACTTTCTACTTCTCACATGTTGAACTCAAATACCTGTACTTTCTACTTCTTACATGTTGACTCAAATACCTTACTTTCTACTTTCTTACATGTTGAACCCAAATACCTGTACTTCTACTTCTCACATGTTGAACTCAAATACCTGTACTTTCTACTTCTACATGTTGAACACAAAATACCTGTACTTTCTACTTCTCACATGTTGAACTCAAATACCTGTACTTTCTACTTCTCACATGTTGAACTCAAATACCTGTACTTTCTACTTCTTACATGTTGAACTCAAATACCTGTACTTTCTACTTCTCACATGTTGAACTCAAATACCTGTACTTTCTACTTCTCACATGTTGAACTCAAATACCTGTACTTTCTACTTCTTACATGTTGAACTCAAATACCTGTACTTTCTACTTCTTACATGTTGAACCTAAATACCTGTACTTTACTACTCTTACATGTTGAACAAAATACCTGCTACTTTCTTACTCTCTACATGTTGAACTCAAATTACCTGTACTTTCTACTTCTTACATGTTGAACTCAAATACCTGTTACTTTCTACTTCCTTAACATGTCTGTAACTCAAATACCTGTATACACTACTCACTTCTTACATGTTGAACTCAATTACCTGTACTTTCTACTTCTTACATCGTTGAACTCAAATACCTGTACTTTCTACTCTACTCACCGTTGAACCCAAATACCTTGAACTTTCTACTTCTTACAGTTGTTGAACTCAAATACCTGTTACTTTCCTACTTCTTACATTTTGAACACAAATACCTGTTACTTTCTACTTCTTACATGTTGAACTCAAATACCTGTACTTTCTACTTCTCACA